GTTAGAACTCAATGATTATCCTAATTATATTTTAGATTTTTTATATTTAAAATGAGATGTTTATCCTGTATTTGATTGTGTTTATCTGCAGTTAGTTATACGAATTCAGATACGAGATGAAATCGGATAGGGATGAACAGGTTTAAGAGTTTTTAAGAGTTTAAGAGTTTTAAGAGTTTTTAAGAGTTTTAGTCAAATGCTTTATAATATAGTATAGATATATACACACACGTGGGGGCTATTAAGGGGTGGGGGTTGGGATGGTTTATAAAAACCGTTTTTTAATTTATTTCAGCCTGACGATAAGATGTTTTCTAGTGTTTGGATAAAAAAAATTGTTTATACCGGTGTCAAACCGGTAATAAGTTATTTTTGATAAGTTAATCCTTCCTGACTTATGAAAAACTGATTATTATCAGTTTACAATTTAACCCTGTTTTATTTAACTCCGATTTGATACCACATAAGTTAATAAGCACTTTTACAAAACAGCATAAGTTGTTTTAAATAAGCAATCCCAAACATCTCCTTTGAGAAAACTAACTAGTTTGTGGTAACGTGAGATCCAATCTCAACCATAAATCAATAGATAAATCAAGAAATTTATAATTTTGATAATTTTGAATTACATTAATGCAAGGACATTTTAGGTATCTTATCTCTTCTCTTATCTCTCCTCTCTTCTCTCTTCGTCCCCCGTCCTCCGTCTTGTGGCCTCTGGCCACCGTCCTCCGGTGATACCACTGTGATACCTAGAAATATTGACTTTGTTAAACAAAAGACACATTATGATACTCAAGCACATATAAGATGTATTTGTGATACCAATGTGTTACATCTTCGATTGACCACACAAATTACCTCAGTATGATACCCAAGCACATATAAGATGCATTGTGATACCATTGTGATATTACAAGTGGCCGGAGGCCGGGAGATGAAGAGAGAAGAGAGGAGAGATGAGAAAAAAATACCTAAAATGTCCTTGTATCAAAATTTTAATTCAAAATTATAAATTTTCTAATTTATCTATTGATTTGTAGTAGAGATTTGACCTCACAATTATCACAAACTAATTAGTTCTCATTTGATTAGACCCCTATATACGTGTGTGTGTGTGTATATATATATATACACACGTATATAGAGGTTAGTTCAAATATTAACACAAATTACTGTGTTAACTTTATGAACATTTTCAACCAATCACAATTCATCTTAGTATTAGGTTCTACTCTATCTAAGAATTTAATGTTAAGGGTATATGAGTAATTTTTTTTAACTCCTAAATCATTAATTGGGAGTTACAAGATCCATAAAAAATCCCATGTTTTTTGCATTTTTAATATTGATCTTGTGATTTTTTTTTCATTTTTTAATATTGATCTTCCATTTTTAGTTTTTATAAATTTGTGATTGTGGAGAAGATCTGCTAGTAAAGTGTTTCTTATCGTTCAAGCAATTATGGATAAAGATATTGGAAAATAACACTACAACATTTAGAATGTTAAAATTGTTTATGATGACAATTTGAGTTCGAGATGGGGAAGTGAAGTAAATAATCAAAG